ATTATTAGGTTTCGTGCTTGGAGCATCCACTACAAAAATGTAGTCTTCAAACACACCTACATATGCATCTAATAATTTTTAGGTACCCAAAAACTTTTGGGTCCTTGAGGGTTAGGAAAATAATAATCATAGCTATAAAACAAATCCCTATGTTTGGTAAAACAAACGGGTGCTATGTGTCCTATCTTAGAGCAATAATGGCAAGTTACATTTTGGTTATGCATATGCCTAGGTTGAGCCAAAAAATTTCTAGGTGATCTAAAGTCATTATTCCTAGAATTATTAATTAAGTTCCTAGAATCATTTCTAGGTTGCCTCAGATTATTTCTATCATTTATAAAAATCTTAGAGTCATTTCTAGGTTGTCTCAACTTATTATTTTTATTCTTTCTAAAATTAATTTTGTTATTCCTAGGATTATTTGCTCTTCTAGGTGGTTTATCATTATTAACTTCTTCACCAAGTTTCTTAGGTTCTTCTACCTTAAGTTTTTCTATGGTGCTCTTAAGTTTTACATTCTCTATTTTTAAAGACTCACAAGAGGAACAAGTAGAACTTTGGTCAAAGGAAGAAGCTTCATTCATTGCCTTAATTTTATTTTTGAGGTCAACATTATCATTTTCCAAAAAATTATTTTCCTCTTCCAAAGCATGAATTTTTACCTTAGCCTCTTTGGCAATTTTTGAAGTTTTCTTCAATTCACCAAATAATTCTTGAAAGGCTTCTTGTAATTCTTCAAATGAGAAAGAGTTAGAAGTACTTACCTCTCCATTTTGTTCATGAGCAATAAAACATAAGGTGGCAGTTTCGTCACCGGAACTTTCCGAGTCCCATGCCATGTATGCTCGTTCCTTCTTCTTCTTTTCCATGCGGTATGGGCAATATGACTTTATGTGGCCAAGTTCTCCACAACCAAAGCACGTTGGAATGGGCCCCCTTTCTTTTACAATCTCGGGACCTAAGTTCTTCCTTCAAAAACTCTTGGAACTTCTCGAGCAAGTTATAAGAAGGATTATCGTCATCGCTATCGGAGTAACTTACCTCTACCCTTTTTGAGGATGAGGCTTTGAGAGCGAGACCAGGACTCTTGTGAAGAGAAGTTTTAAGAACAGTAGATTCATAAGTTTTAAGATTACCTCGAAGACCATCGATGGTGACATTGGTGTTACCAATTGACTCATATATGGCATCAGCTTTTGAACGCCATTCTGATGTTAAGCTCCGAAGGATTTTTCGAACAAGATCTTTGTTCGAGTATGTTTTACCAAGGACATGGAGATCGTTGATGATCTTTAAAAATCGGTCGAACATTTGATCAACGCTTTCAATTTCCTTCATTTTAAA